TTTTTTTCTTTTGTCGGTCGTGGGGCTTGAACTCTGGGCCTGGGCGCTGTCCCTCAGCTCTTCAGCTCAAGGCGAGCGTTCTACCATTTGAGCTACAGCGCCACTTCCGGTTTTCTGGTGGTTTGTTGGAGATAGGAGTCTCACGGTCTCTCCTGCCCGGGCTGACTTTGAACCGTGATCCTCAGATCTCAGCCTCCTGAGTAGCTAGGATTACAGGCGTGAGCCACCAGCGCCTGGCTTAGAAAAATAATTTTTTTTAAAGGAAGATAAGAGATTGAGGCCGGACACTGGTGGCTCACAGCTGCAATCCTAGCTAATCAGGAGGCTGAGATATGAGGATAGCAGTTCAAGTCCAGCCTGGGCAGGAAATGTCCTTGAGACTCTTATCTCCAATTAACCACCAGAAAACGAAGTGGCGCTGTGGCTCAAGTGGTAGAGTGAGTTCTAGCCTTGAGCAAAAAGAGCTCAGAGACAGCAGACCCTGAGTTCAAGCACCATGACCAACAGAGAGACACAGAGACAGAAATAGACAGACAGACAGAGAGATTGAGATTGAGCTTTTGCTTCTCCAGGCTAACTACCCTAGTCCTTACCCGACAGGAAAAAACTGGGTTCCTGAAAGCCTTATTTGGGGATGCGGTTAGCGGTGATGAGGGGAGGGGGGCGGGGGAGGGGGGGATCGAAGCCACTCCCAGACCCCCACACAGCCACAGCAGGGCACTGCCAGCTCCCAGACTGGGAAGAAGCCCAGAGCACTTCCTGCCTGCTCCAGGCCCCTAGGGCAGGATCCGCACAGACTCCTCTCCCACTGCCCCACCCCTCCCACCCCTCATCCCCCCTCCCCCGCTGCAGGCACGCGTGGGCAATGTGTCTGTGAACTCAAAGCAGTCATGTTCTGCATGGAAGTGAGCAGAGAAGTCGCACGTGCACAAGTGTTCATTGGCATAGCCAGACGTCCCGGGGGAGGGGCCCGCAGCATCCCACACCCCACACCCTCCTCCAGCCAGGCTTTCCTATGCACAGCTCAACTTGACCAGCCTGCTGACCACTCCTCTGCAGCCCTGGCCCTCTGGTGCTGTCCCCCATCTTGTGGGCACACCCCCAGCCACCCCTCTGCCAGAGTGGCTAGAGATCAGGTCACCCACAGCCACCACACCCGAACCCTTTGCCCTGGTAGTGCCAGGGTGGCAGTGCAGCAGACGTTTTGCAGGGTTCGCTTCCTAGTACCAAGATTTTACTCAATTTAATCAAACAACTGGGGCTTTTTTTTTTTTTGGTCGGTCGTGGGGCTTGAACTCGACCTGGACGCTGTCCCTCAGCTCAAGGCGAGTGCTACCACTTGAACCACAGCGCTACTTCGTTTTCTGAATGGTTTATTGGAGGTAACAGTCTCACCTGCCCAGGCTGGCTTTGAACCTTGATCCTCAGATCTCAGCCTCCCAAGTAGCTAAGACTACAGATTTGGGCATCCAGCACCCCCCCAACCGGGGCATTGAAAATAGTCATGTGATCCTTGAGGCTGGAAAAGCAGAGGCAAAGCCGGCTCCTCCTTGCAGGTCTCTGGGGCCTGTCACCTTCTCCCCATCCACGAATGAATGCTGTTGCAGCCTCTCCTCAGGGCGCATACTGGGTCCTGATTGATGTATTGGCATGGGTGTAAGGCGGGGCAAAACTAGGCAGCACGCTCTTTGGTTGGTTCCTCTTGGGCTGTGTTTTCTCCAATGATCTTGGTATGCAGGAACCCAGGGGCGCAGTCCAGGTGGGGAAGAGTTGATGGAGACCCCCTCCCCCACCAGGCATCCCTATCTTCTTTCCACCTAGATTCCTGGACATGATTCCCCGTCCCCCCCCCCCCGTCCTTGCACTCTGGGCTCCCAGCTCTGCATGGCATACCAGGGTTACAGCCCCAGTTGGCCACCCCACCTGGGGAGGGGCAAATGTCACAGGGAAGTCCCGCTCGGCCATGTGCAGAGTGGCCTTGTGCTCGCATCCTGGGGTGGCACTGGAGCGCTCCCATCTCCTGCCCATCACACAGCGAGCTGAGAGTGCTGCCGGGAGGCCCCAGGCTGGCGGTGCAGGGTTGGCCAGCAGAGGGAGCCAAAGCAGAATAGGCTTAGAAGCAGCGCTGGCTTCCAGCACTGACTTTCTGCCCTTCTCCTGCAGGCTCCTAGGACAGGACTGACCCACACACCAGAGCCACCTTCAGATGACACTCTCGCTCTGAGGAAAATTGAGATGTCGGGACTTCGGAAAACAAGCAAAACCACCTCCTCTGTGTCTTCAGTGAAGCTAGGGATTTGGTCAGCCAGGGCTGCGGGGAGGAGTGGGAAGGGTCTAGTCTAGTAGCTGTGGTCTAAAGGCTGCCTTGCCTCTCTCAGCTGAAATGTCACTGCCGGGGTGACAGCATAACTTTTTTCTTTCTTAATGTCTGAAACCAGCATTCAAACTCTGGTCCTGTGGCTTTCACTCATTGGCTAGCGCTGTCCTGAGCCATGCCTTCAAGCACCAGGATGACTTCTTGCATTGGAAAGACTGTTTCTCCTCCTCCTTTGGGAAGATTAACTTGAACCCCTGTGAGCACAAAGAGCAGACCCCTAGGGCACTCAGAGAGGCCCCGCCAAGTACAGCCTGGCTCAGAGACAGGAGGGTTGTCAGCAGCTCACAGACAATTGCAGTCTTCTAAGTACTGTTGACAGAAGAAGTAGGTCCCACCCATGAGAAGTCTGGAAAGCTTTAAAAGTCAAAACACAGTGAAATGAGTCCAAGGCTCAGAGTCAAATGACCTTAGAGTCAGTCTTCTGAGCCTCAGTTTTCCTATCACGGGGTAGGAGTGGGAACTGAATTTCTGCTGCTGATGCTTTAAAGAACTTTTCTCTGGCTGTGATAAACACATCACAGCATTTAAAGACATGTTTTGAGGGGCTGGGAATGTGGTTAGTGGTAGAGTGCCTGCCTAGCATACACAAAACCCTGGGTTTGATTCCTCAGCACATAAACAGAAAAAGCCAGAAATGGCGCTGTGGTTCAAGTGGTAGAGTGCTAGCCTTGAGCAAAAAGAAGAGATGGTGTTCAGGCCCTGAGTGCAAGCCCCATGCACCCATGGCTCATGACTGTAGTCCTTGTTGCTCAGGCTGAAATCTGGGGGCTCACAGTTTGTGTCCAGCCTGGGTAGAAGAGCCAGATTGTATTTCCAACATAGCAAGCTGGAGATGTGGCTCAAGTAGTAGGGCACCACTCAAGCAAGCAAACTGAGCAAAATGGAAACTGAGTTCAAACCCTGATACTGGCAAACTAAATAAAAAACAACCACCTTTTTTTTTTTTTTGAGGGCTGGCATTGTAGCTCAGTGATAAAAGTGCTTGCACAAGCCCCTAGGTTTGATCCCTAGCACCACAAAAAAAACTTTGTCTTGGGGTGGCTCAGTTGGTAGAGCACCAGCCAGTAAGCAAAAGTATCAAGTAACAAGTTCAAGCCCTGGTCTTGAACAACAAAAATTACTGTCCTTTTGGGGAGGGCAGTCTTGGGGCTTGCACTCAGGGCCTGGGCGCTGTCCCTGAGCCTCTTTTGCTCAAGGCTAGCGCTCTACCACTTGAGCCACAGCCCCAACTCCTGGCTTTTTCTGAGTAGTTTGTTAGAGAGTAAGTCTCACAGACTTTGCTGACTGGGATGGCAACAAACTGCAATCCTCAGATCTCCTCTTCTGAGTAGTTAGGATTACAGGTGTGAACCTCCTCCGGTGCCTGGCTACTTTGTCTTCTATAAATGATACATGTTCACTGTATTTGGGAGATGAAGTATGCAGAAGGAAGTCACCTGTTCCCCACCCACCAGCAGCGGAAGGCTGCTCCAGGGTTTTGCCACGCATCCTGTGTGGGATCCCAGGGAACAAGCTGTTTCGTAACCTGCGTTGGCTTGTCAGCACGCTCAGCTCGGTCCTCCGTGGTGCTCCACCCTGGGTGATGCCGAGGGCTCAGCTTCACCAGCTGTTTTTTGTGGGCTGTGCTGGCCAGTTCTCCCTAACTCAATTATCATGTCCCTTAGTTGCTGTAGTGCCACGGCCCTCAGGTGACGCTCTGAATGCTGCTGATGGCACCAGGTGAGGGGAGTCCGGGGAGCCTGGCCGGTGAAGCTGCGCCACAGTGCTGAAGCTCCCACCGGGCACAGGGCTGAGCCACATGGCTGAAACCTCATGGGGCTGTTGCTGCCGGCCAGAAACCCCAGGCTGTGAGTATGGTCCGTCCTGCCAGGCCTCAGGGACATGGGCGCCCTACTTAGGATCCTGCTTGGACACTGTGTGTTCCCAGCTCTTTGGACCCCCCAGTCCTGTGCTGTGTCGGGGTGGGGCTCCTTGTTCTATCCACCAGGCACTACTGAAGTCTGGAGTCTAGCAGAGGAAGGGGGCTGTCTGACAGGGGAAGCACAGAGCACAGGTCCACGGAGCACCAGGGTGGCCTGGCCCAGGCTGCTCTGCAGGCCTGGCTCAGCACAGGGCAGTGGGGCGGGTGCCTGGCATGGGCCAGGTCACACAGCATCCCAAGCTTCTCTACCAAGAAATCGTCCCAGGCCAGGCCTGGCGCAGGGGCTTCCCTCATGGCGGCCAGGTGCGTGACTCACTGTGCAGCATTAGGGAAGACCTCTCAAGGCTCTGCCTACCGTACACACCCCTCTCTAGATGGAGCCTGCCACTGATGCAGATGTCAGGATACAGCCCTGCAGCGTAGCCCATGTGGACTCAGCCTGCTGGGGCTAGGCCCGAGCCTGGGTTGGGCATGCTTGTGTGCAGACAAAAAGGTGCTTAACCACTGGGCGCTGGTGGCTCACGCCTGTCATCCTAGCTACTCAGGAGGCCGAGATCTGAGGATCCCGGTTCAAAGCCAGCCCGGGCAAAGACCATGAGAGTCTTATCTCTAACTATCAGAAAACTGGAAGTGGTGCTGTGGCTCAAGTGGTAGAGCGCTCACCTTGCGCTGAAGAGCTGAGGGACAGCACCCAGGCCCAGAGTTCAAGCCCCACGACTGACAAAAAAAGTGCTTACCCATGTGTGGAGGGCAGAGATCTGCAGCCGTGAGGCTCCGTGTGGAGGCCGTCCTGGCCGGCAGGTGGCAGCACATGCCAGCCCATGGGGAAAGGAGAGGCCTAGCCAGGCAGCCTGCTCCTCCCAACCCTTAAGGGGTTCCAGCACTCCAGAACCTGAGCTTCGAGGGCCCAGGAGTGGCGCCCTGGACAGCCCGACCCCCTCTTGCCCACCAAGGAGGTCCAGGAACAGCCCCCTGGGCCCTGGAGGACCTGAGGGGCCTCCAGCGGAGGCCGGGGGGGAGGCAGCTGGGCCGGAGGGTGGAGGCTGGTTATTTAGGAAATGGAGTAGGTGGTGGCGAAGGGAGGGAGGGAGAGGAGGCAGGGGAGAGAAGCCTGGATTTGAGGGCTGCCAGGAAGAGGGAGAAGGAACTGGAAAAGTATCAAGTTTCTGCCTCCATCCGCACCACGGGACCGGGGAGAGCGCCAGGCTCCGCCTCCCGCAGCCAAATGTCCTTAGATGCTCATGCAGCCTCGGCGGCGGCGCCCCCGCCTGACCGGCCT